TAGTCCATTCGTACATTACTTGGCCGTCCTCAACCCTCAAACGAGAATAATATTCTCCTGCGCCATCATGGCGGCGAGCCTTTGTCTCTTTGCAGCATCAGCAGCAACGACGGCACACCGAGTCTTTCCTTCTCGCGAAGGCTGCCTTTCTCATTATTTACGGAAGCGCGAGTTTCTCGTCTCCTTAACGGTTGCTGGTAATAAGATGCACTTCTTTAAAAGATTCGCCTGCCCGGAAGCGACAAATTGCATTCGCCCAGCGGCCTCGCCCCCTCGAGGTTACGCTACCGCTTCCAGCCTCTGTTAAAAGAAAACTCGGCACAGGACGCGAACGTGGGTAGCCGGAACAAACGTTAACCGAATGAAACCATAGACGCATTTTACTCACGAGCCGCGTGGTGGCTGTTCATTTTAGCAAGCGTTCAAGTAATGAAGTAATCTCTTGTCTTTCTTTCTTCTCCTCCTTTCCTTTTTTTCGTTAGATATTTATATTCATGGTTGAATCACAATTATACATGCAATATGTGAATTATGTTGCAGATATTATAGTATATATACATACACACATACATATGTATATACACGTTTCTTTAACTTCCTGCGTAGTCCGTAAGATCTCTAATAAGGTTTCAGTAACAATTTTCCGGAATTAAGTTGTTAGTCCAATGTCCAACCCTCAGCCTGGGGGATCTATACATATATTCACTGATATACGGGACCTATAGTTTAACGCCGCTGATGATCAAAGGACTCTTAATCAAGTGGGGCCATTTTCGGCTCCTTAAATGCAAAAAATCGACCATGTGGGCGCAGATAGGATTGAACCCGGATTTACAGATCGCAAGTCAACCGCCGAGCGGCACTCGACGCCTCAATTATTTATTATATCCAATATATTATATTTTTTTAAATATAAAATTATATATATATATATAATTACAGTTATATATATATATAGAGTCATCTCTATATTTGATTTGATTTGGTACACATATTGTATTAAATAAAATATTACGTAATATTTTTACAAGAATTTTTCAAAAAGTTATAAATACGCGGACAATCACTTATTCTTCGTTTCATTGATTATCTAGATATATTCAAATTAGTTATCGAATTCAAATTAGTTAGATCGAAAGATGTCGTCTTGATCTTCCTATACGTAGTTCTCTCAAATTTAAAATATAGCATCAAAACGAAGCTCTGTCGTCGGTGATACACACAATTTCACATTTGATCCTTCATACTCGTACTTCTTATTGGCAGAGCGGCCGCGACGAACGTGGTTAGTCAGAATGACCGTTAAGCGGATCGGCCGATCGATGAGGCCAGTTGAAACCATGAATCGCTCTGTGGTCGCCTCTCCGACCACTGGTTCGGTCCAAGTGTTCTCCCGCGCGTACCTCTCCTACCAAGGTTCCCTCTTAACGAAGTATCAATGTTACCACCCGCGGGATTACGTATTCAGAGTTCGGTGTTGGTTGGTGTACATTGGCTACGGCGCTACAGGCTGCAGTCGCGAGCCAAGTGGAGACGACCAAGAACCATCGTATATACAGACGAGATGCGGCCAGAGATCGTGGCGACCGGAGGTGGGTTGGCAAAGAGAGTGGTAGCCAGAAAGGCCAGGAGTAATGATGTTTGTTTAGCTCTCAAGAAGAGGGTCCGCGTCAGGGGTGGAAGATACGGGTTTTGGCACGGAGATGATGGGTGAGGGAAAAGACCCTACCCTTCGTCCGTACTCTTGAGCTCTCTCTCTCCTCCCTCCTTAGATCTTCGTGTCCTCTCTCTCTCTCTCTCTCTCTCTCTCTCTCTCTCTCTCATCCTTATCTCGCCATCTGCCGTTTCTACTGCCTCTTCTCCGTCACTCCGGTAGCTCCTCTCATCTTTCTCCCTGGTCTCAGTCCTCGCCTCGTAAATTGAAACTCCTGTGTGTTGGCGTCCGTGCATCTGGAGCTCCTTAGGAGTTAAGCTACGCAAATTAGATTTTCTGCTTAGGAGCCAGAAGTACGACTCCCCTTTCCCTTGGCGCCTCGCCCCTTTTCATCCCCCCCCTCCTCCCCCTTAGCTCCTGCGAGACCCCCACGAGACCGTGTGCAAACGTTCATCCCACCTCTTGAATATATATACAGCCACCACCTCTACACGCCTTAAATCTTTGCGTTTGCGTCATTTCTGGCTCTCTTTTTTTTTTTATTCCCTCTTTCGTAATTTTTACGTCCTCTTATCTATGCACCTACTTTCTCATCGCCCTCTCTTATCTCCTCCCTTCTGCTGGTCCGCTTCATGTCTTTGGTCAATATTATCCGCGACGTGTCAGGAACGTCTTAATACCTTTTTTTTTAATCTGGGATTTACTCCCGGTAGAGTGGAGGCGACGCGAAGTTTTTCTATCTATGGCCCGGAAATTTCTTCTGTCATGTTGGAGAGTACTTCTCGTTTTCTCGAGAACGTTCGTTATGTACGCCCGTTCCTTCATGAAATGGAATTTGTTGCCTGTTTGCCGGATCCCAGCAAATGTTTGCCGACAGACTGTACCGTTTAAGCTATACGTGAGTCGTCATAGCAACCGTGGCTCATGGTTAAATAGTATCGCTTCGCATGAGTGCTTGTGAGGATTCCGCAGGAAGTTCGTATTCCGCCGGATGTCAACAAGCTTCTTTTTTTTTTGTGCCGAAAAGCCAGGGACCTCGTTTGCGTTAGTTTCGCGATTTCTGTATTTAAGTGACATTGAAGATACATAGATGATAGAAGTGATTAAGAAACATTTTGTAATTTTAATTTTTAGTCCATAGCTCGTCTTGTTACTGTTGCACGCAAGAAATCAAATCATCTTTCGATCTCTCGCATATATGAGAGTTAAAAATTTCAAATAGTACAACACTTATACGATCGACATTTGCGTTTCTTTCTTCTTTTGTTAAGTAGTTTTTTTAAGTCGGAAGAAATTCCATATATATATATTCCGGAAAAAACGATGGTATTCTTTCGCGACTTTGGATTCGGCTTTTCTCGTTTCACCGGAAATCACCGGCGATTCATGTACCCTTCGCGTTCGTCGAACATTTGGAAATAACAGCGAAACGAGAAGCGGAAAAGACTTTTCCGATAATGGAGGCTCGGAATCGTGCCATCGCACGTTTTCTGTGTCGTCACGTGGCGCGGCGGCGGCCGCAGGTGCATTGGAAATTAATTTCGGCTTAATGCCGCGGCGCCAGCACCGCGAATCCTTCGACGTGACGATGAATTCCCGATGCCCTCGAGACGTGATATTCCGAATCTCGTCCGCGGGATTCCACGAACAGCTACGCATTAGAGCGAGTTTAACTCGCGTCTGCGGGTTTAACGTCGCAGGCGTTCTGTACTTCTCGCATTATTGATCCCGTTTAGTATGTACCTTATCATCTTGTTTATTTTTTTATTTTATTTTTTCTACAAACGCTGAAATTGATTTAAGGAGTGTAATATCTACCAATTTTACATAGAAAAGATGGATTGTTATTTATGGTAAATCAATTATTTAAGTGAAATTATATTACAATTATGTTGACTCCTTAATTCGTTTTAAAGTTTACGCACACCTAGGATATAATTTTGTAAAATAATATCGACAGGGGACAATATATATTTATTTTTTTATTTTAATTATGTTACTTTTGATGTTACCTCGATGACACCGCTTGATTACATTATGCGTGGCATTTCGAGAGGCAGAGACAAGCTCGTGGCGAAAGACGCAGGGCAAATTTATTGGAAATGTTAATCGTTCCTATCATTCATGGACCCGCGGAATTCGCACGATTTTCTACGACGGCGAACTCGCCATTCGAACGAGGCATCGGCTTTTCGGGTAGAACACCGGCCGCATTCAATTCCTCGGCCTTTGGCTACCTGAAATAGTTCCTGAAATAGTCCGCGACCTGGAGGCGCGTATAATAAACCTAATTCCACATATTTAACGGGCATACTATATCCAGGACCGGCACGCGATGCGGTCGCTATTAAATCCGCGAGTAATTTCTACGTATTGCGGTGATACCGGCCATCTCTTATTCTTTAATAGGACCGACAATAATAGCGTCATTTATCAGGGAAGTATTATATTAACGGCCACCAAATTTTCTCTTCGTTGTCCCATCTCGATACTTTGCGGCGAAAATAACTAATTTAATTCTGTGTGGCACGAAGAATAAAATCTTGGACATTATATTTTTTATTATTATATTTATTATCACAACAATAATTAATTGTCCGAAAGATTGGATTTATTTTTATCAATCTCTTAGAATAGAAAAGTGATTATGAAGTTTTTATGTTTTAAATTTTTATAACTTCCATAAATTGCATATCTAAATGCTTTTTATAGATTTACTTTATGCAGATTTTATTTTATGCACAGAACAGAAGTTATAAAAGTTTAAAGTTGCACGAAAGCTTTATTTATATTTCACTTTTGAAGTAATATATTGAGCAAAACTGCATAATAGAATAAATACATTTATCTGACGTGTAACGACTCTATCATGTTAAGAACGTGATTATCGTTTGTTACAGAAATTGCGAAATTATTCTTATCGGTGATGCCAGACACAATAATTGTTGCGTTGTGTGAAGATAAATTCGCGAGCAGAAGAGATCCACGTTTATGCGATAGTCATTTGATATCGTTTCTAATATCTCTCATGAAACGATGTCCTCGCTTTACGACGATTAGCATGCTAATTATAAATTATGGACACGCTTTAATTTCATGTGTGCAGTTTTAAAATAGAGTTCGTTCTCGCACGTGACTCTTCGTATGTCGCTAATGTACTCGATGAAAAGAAATTCCATCGGATACGTGTATAATGTGGCTTCCACTACACCGTGATGATAATCGAGAGGGAGTTGCATTCAGTGGCAAATGTAACGTAATTGTGCGTAGCCGCGATTCGACAGATGCCATATATAATTTTCATCTACACTGCTGCTGCAACGATGGTTGTTTCTCTCTGTTACAGATCTGCGGGAAGGTGTTCAACAATGCATCGGCACTTACGAAGCACAAACTGACGCATAGCGACGAGAGGAAATACGTGTGCACAATGTGCGGCAAGGCGTTTAAACGGCAGGATCATTTGTGAGTACTGATTAGAGAATTTCACATCAGAGAGATCAGCGATATCTTGCGAATATGTTAAATTTTACGAAATAAGCTCTTAGTAACTTAAGATTGACAATATAATTCTCTGATAGCAGATAACTGTTTCAACCAGATTGCAACCCTTTTGAATTTAGTATCGAAGTACTGAAACTTCGTACACAGCTATGGTTTTATGCCACCGATATTTGTGTCTTCGTGCGCGGGTGTTTAGACCATAGTTGTGACGCAAGATTATAGTGAAATTACGGCATTGAAATGAGAATTATATATATCACAAATATTGATAGCAATATTTAGAAAAAAAGATATTTATTTACAGTGAAGTGTCAGTAACGTTACGTTGCAACGTTGCTACACAAAAAGAACAGTTTTTGCTGAAGTATCTAAAAATTCAGCTAGATTTAGGACAGTAGATTTAAGGATAATTTTGTTGGGCTATCAAAGGAATTATTCAGGACGCTCAAAATTTGGACGTCTAAATTTTTTTGCAGCATTGCTTATCATGCTTGAGTTTCGTACATAATTATTTTAATGGTTCAACAAAATTATCAAAGCTGTTTTTTTAAATTTTTCGATACTTCAGGAAAATCACTCTTTCAGTGTACGA